TTCAGAATACGCAATCTATTTTTTGGTAAACTACTTACCGGGCTACTTGGCAACGAACTTTGACGAGTGACGAATAAGTTGTCCGAGGGCATGTTACAGGTTGGACGAAGGGGTAAAGGGAGAGGGTTGGGTACGGAAGATAAAGAGCTAAACAAATTTGAGATATCTCCGCTTTGTACATATATATGAGTTGTATTCTGAAAGCTTTCTACTGGTTTCTCAATTCATTACCAGCATTTAACAGTATGGAAAAGCTTTTGGCCTCCAGACGTTAAATGTAGTATGGTCTATTCTGTTATACTTAACCTTTCACATCCTTTACAATAAACAAACAACGAACGGCGATGGAGTGGCGCAAGGACAGAAGAATCCATAAAAGGGCAATCACGATTTGATATATTGGGCCCCGAATATTTAAGATTTTGGCGCTCAAGAGCAATTCTGGATGCTTCCTACAGACATTCATCTTTTTCGAAGGAAAAATCCGTCTTGTATATGTCAAATTAAACGTGAACTGAAAAGCTAGGAAACACTGGACAACTGTTTCGACCTGCTGATGAGACCCAACTAGGTCGAAACAGCTGTCCAGTGCTTCCTAGCTTTTCAGTTCACGCTTCATTTGATATATACACGACGAATCTCCCCTTTGAAATTGAACGAAATCTTCCGTTACTCACGTTTATCTTTTTTGTTGAGGAGATCGCTCTTCAGGTACAAAAACTCACTCTTCCTAGGCATTGTCGCTGATCTTCTGCGGCTGTTTATTGATTGTGCAAACTTCCTTGCTTCGTCCCTCAGAAACGGGCTTCCTGATGGAATACGGTGGATGGTAGACAAGATCAAACAGAATACGGCGCGCCGTCCACCCAACCAGGGTGAGGTCACGTGAACAAGGAGAATGCAATCCGCACCCAGTCCCGACGGCCTATCTGTGATTTCAATATGAACATACCGGATTTTGCAATTCTTTGAACGTGAATTGTATGTATTTACTCATTCTCTTCAAAAAATAAAATCTGACACAGAATGCACGAGTCTGTGCACATAAATACTTAAGTGTACAAGCAAACAACCGCTCAGAAATACGGAGAGCGACGTCTGGATGGGTATCGCATTGCTACCCAAGTTTAGTACGGCACATCTGCGGATATTTGATTGGAATAGATATGTGACAGTTTTTCCTTGGCCTTTTGGTTCATTTGAATAGAGCTGCGGAAATGATAGAGAAGAAGTGGGGAAACGAGGAAATTATTTAGAGAGAAGCACACCGAAAAGTAAGCGAAATTGGCGTTTAAGATGCTATATCAATTCAAACGTACTCACGTTATTATGTCAGATATATATGGAAAACCGATAGTTTATGCAACCAAGTATGGGCGTATAGCAGCATGCACGTCTTACTGTAATACGGTGGCATACATGGTTTCCTGTCATTGAAAACTTCGCACTTTGCTGAATTTGCTCAATGATTGGTATACGCAGTGTCTCATCACTCTTTTTGTTATTACTACTACTGAAGAGCTGAATACGCACGCTCCCCCCGGGGCGAGCTAAAGTGGGTTCTGGACTGGACACGCGTGAGAGAGTAAAATGCAGTTCACAAAACCAGTTTCATCCGTAAATGCCGTGAGACAAAGACTAAAACTCAAATGAACCAATCGGTGGAAATCAGAAGCCATTCTACCGGTTGGTAGGTTACAGTGTACTACCGCTTCATGAACGAAAGCAAAATTGTCGTTGACATCCTTAGCGCTGTCTTCGTGAATCTTTTCAGCCATACACTACACACAGGACTTAGATATTCGAGAAAAGAAATGCATTAATCACCGACAGCTATCGAAATGATCTTTATTATATACCTCGTCTCACAGTCAATACTAGTGAACAAACCAAACAGGATCACATTAAAATGTCCACCCGAACTGTTTGTGAATCAATCTAGAAAAGGCATGGTAACCAATAGCATCCAGGATGTTGCAATAAATCGACGGAGGATGAACGATATACATACCTCAAATGTTCTCCAAATTGACTCAAGGTATTCGTGACAGCCCAGTTCNCCAGTTCAAAGTCGCGTACATGCGCCATGGCAAGCTGGGATCCGAAGAGAATCGATAATACGAAGGAACGCACAACCCGTCTATTTTGTCGTCTTGCATTAGGGTGTCCGATAAACGTGAAGCGCTTGGGGAGCATGGAGATAGAAATTTTGCTGGAGAATTGGAACCAATTGTTTTAGAGCGCACCGGCAATTTCTGGCTGAATGCTCCGTCGCTGGTGAGCAAACCGACCAGTCGTAGATGACGTTCAACTGCCTGATCGAGGGAACCAGAAAATCGGAAAAAGTCATAGTAATTCTCACAGGAGTGTCTAAATGTGAAAGTTTTGAGTAAGGGTTTGGAAACTACCAATATGACACCAAATTAACAACACTGAAGATGGAGGTTGAGTTGAGGACCAATCGGTGAGATCACAGGGTGTGGTTTGAGGGAAACGATTTTCTTGTGTTCGTACAGCAACATTTGTCTTAGTTTTTCGTCTGTTTTGTCTGTTTGCCCTCTATGAGGTACGTAATTTCAACAAAACGACTGAGCAGCACTCGCGCTGTCAGCAATTTTTGTTATGAGCCACATCTCTGTGTATCTAACTAACAATAACGTTCATCCCTTGAGCCCTAATCAGGAAGTCTGGAGGCACCAACAGAGGCTGATTTCTTTATATCCCAATGCCAAGCCATGGTTGGGCTGGTGAATCGCTTGACCAGTAAGTGTGTAAAACATACGGAAGCGAAGACGACGGACAAGCAAGCGCAAAACAGTTAATTGAAAAGCTTGTCTAGTTAGCTTCCAATGATCAATGAGTCTTTCAGCGGATGGTTAAAAAGAGAGATCCGTTTCGAAGGTCGATTTGCAGTTGTCGACAACACTATACAGTGGAGCTTATTCCATCGTCAATTTCCGCTCCGGACCTCTTTTCCAATCAAATTATCTGCTTAATGGCTAGGTACCAGAACGTCTAAGTTCAAAATGTGACCGCATACGGTCAGAATCTTCTGTTTTCATTTCCACTTCACCACTTGCAGAGTGACCTGTTTCATCGCATTTCCGTTTCTATCGAGTGCCAGGTCGTTGTCAAGATAACGCTGTTTCTAGCCTCATGCGATGACCTATTGGGATGGCCCGACTGCTTAGACCGGTCACCAAACTAACAAGAATTCCCTACGGCGTCACCCATGAACTTTGTTTGCATTTTATGTCCTTAGTATCTGATGTCCATTGTCCTCAGAATCATCTATTGTTCTTTCGTGTCATTGCTACCCCATCATTCTCTTCTTGACACGTTGACATTCGTTTTGTTCTGGTTATCGATTTCTTACATAACCAAACGAGTGCATAGGCTTCACTCTGGGATAAGTAGATGGACATGTGAACACGCACACCGCTCACTCGTATGAATTCCCTTGTGACCTCCATTGTCATTTTCTATTGGTTAACTGGTGTTTGCATCAAGATTGAAATAGGACACGTCGCGAGATGTTAACAGTTCGTTCAATCGCTGACGTAAAACAAACGACCACGTTGGATTTGTAAACCCTAGTGAACGGACATGTACAGATAGACAGGGGCTATTAAAATTAAAAACAACGGGGCAACTCCAAGGCAAATGAACTGATTGGGCGCACACAACGGAATGATGTCATCAAATTAGCAACAGTTTTGCACTGCGGTTACGTAACAACGGTTTCGGTCCTGATGCGATCGATAAAGGGGCCCCGGTGTTTCAAATTACCTATGTTCCTTCTTCTGTGTCGGC